ACCTCTGTTAGTGCGAGATCTTGCGTATTGTGTGAAAAAGCACACACCAAAAACACCTGCTGCAAAAATTGAATGATTTGATTTTGTACTTTAATTTCCCCTTTTTTCAAAGATCAATGTTGGTCTTTGAGAGAAGACTATGACATTGAGATATCCTTACTTCATCAAAATTGACCCCCATCAAATGTGTATAGGGCATTATAAAGTGTGAAAAGACCTTTGGCTATTACAACACCATTGTTTGCCTGTTTTTAAATTCCATTATATGCACAACGCAGGATCTAGCAGGGAATGGAACATTGTATTAAAAGCGCCACTAGTCAGCCATCCTGTTTTGAAAACAGATATACCAAACAAATGATATATTTCCAATATGAAATAATGAACACTTCACCATTCAAGACAAGAAATTGAATTAATTTCTTAGGACATGCGATAAGATCTACAGCCTGGGACTATACCTACATGTATATGCTTTATATATATGCCTATTTTTTTTCTACTGAAAACATTTTATTGCACTTAAACCAGAACCACAAATGTATTTCCTAAATGGATGCAAAAAGATTTTATTCCAATGTCTTATTACATGTTCATAATTTTTAATTTTCTACAACCCAGATTATCAGTTTAAAATATTATTAAATTATTCCAACCACGTGTTTTATCTATAGAGTTAGCATTATCTCGGCAGATCATAGGTGAAATGTTGGAGCAATATAAGAGTGAATTAATTTTCACTGGCACATGTGATTTGCATGACATAGAAAACATGCAATATGGTGGAAACTATTAGACCAAAAACAAATTTCTGGTCAATTTGTTTTGTAAAATTAGTGCACCAGGAAGGTTTTATTATTATTCAAAAATTTAAAAAAAAATTCTGATGGTGGCCCCAGACTCTATATTTTATTGAATAGTTCTGGAATGTATATCATAACAATTGTTAATTTGGACTAATTCCTTAATCCAACAATATTTGTTTAACTTACGGTTTCTTATTTGATGCTTGTACTGGATATTGTAATGAACTTAACCATGACTAATACGCCAAGACCATCAAATGGCTTATGTTCACAGCCTAAGTTAACACAACACATTACATGTCAGAAACTGCACTGAAATCAACAACAACTTGCCCACTGGTATGTGCTCTTATATTCAATACAAGCGCCAATTGAAATAAAAGCTTTATTTAAACATGTCTACCAAGACATGCACTTGCATACATAGACCCTAATTGTACAATGCACAAACGAAAAATACAATTTGGTTGAAAACTCAGCAGGAGACAACATAGGAGGTCATAGTTAGGTTAAACCCAGGTCATTTGGGGGTCACGACATGGCGCTGCACTGCACTTTACAATGTCCATACAAGCATGTACTGACAGATGTATAAAAGCTTACATTGTACACACTAAAACATTGCCACTTCAAATTTCTAGTTTTAGTATGTATTAGGAGAGAAATTAGTGGTTTATAAGAACAGCTCACTCAGAAACAGAATGAAAAACAGTGAACAAATTCCAATATTCAGTTTACATGCCCAAACAAAAATTAAAAAACAAATCGCTTTTCGATTATCTATTAATTTCATGCCATGATTCCATGTCTACATATTATACCAAAAATAAAACATTAATATTGTAACATGCTATCCAGAGAACTTAAATATTGGTATTAACACAAAGATGATTTTTTTAGATTGTATTGCCTCAGGGAATTCATTCTCTGACGTAAGAGCTAGAGATTTGATGTATTACGTACAAGATGTGAGTACAATATTTTGAATTATCATTCTATTCCGACTGGAATACTGAATTTAATTACATTTTACATACAAGTCCAGTATTCTGTTATGTGTCGAGATATGAATGAATTACATGTCCACGAAGCTCTGGATCCTGCTATTAATTCCTGGAGTCAAATTTGACTAATGTTCAATGTGACAAAAATAATTTTTATTTTTTCATATGTAGCACAATTAAAAAAATTATAAATATAACTAAAACTTATTTAATTATGAAACAGATATATTCTAACATTCTGTCAGAATAATAATAATAATACAGAACAGTGAAGCCATAAAAGATCAAATGTTCAGACTTAATTATGATGTCTGGCCATGATTGCTAGAGCATGGGGTCAAGGAGTCGTAAGGAGTGTTGTCAAAAGTGTTTAATAAATCATCTACAATGTCTGTTTTCATCATATATATGACTTGTACAAAACAGATGATTTTTGTTCAAACAGTGTACAGATGACAGACATGACAAAAACCGTTCGCTGTATGGGCATGTACCACCTGCAGGAGTCAACAACATCAAACAAACAGTAAATTCACACAGTATTCCTTCAATACTACGCGACTTGATGCAAAATATACAAAAAAAAAACAGATTCTTCATTTGCTTTTAAAAGAGCATACAGCAAATTAAATAAGAGCCCAATAAATGGACAGAATTAACTGAAATTCAAGTATTTCAATACCAAAAATCAGCAGTAACCTAAAGCATACAGACTACCAACTCTTGTTTTAAAAACACTTAATATATTTAAACATTAGCAACTCAATTGAATAAATAAAAAACAATTACAATCTTTCTAATTAGAGCATCCTACACAAATTGAGCAATGATGTATATTTCAAACTTTAAATTTAAGCTTGGCTAAAAGTACCACCATAACATGATGGCCGAGACACCTAATACTGTAAAATACTTTATTTTTGCTGAAAGAATGATTCAGTGAAAATTCAACTCAGCGAATACACCTTTTGTCCTATATTTTACATTCAACTTGCCAAAAATCGATAAAATTGAATTCCATACAAAGCCCCCAAAATGTCTTTTCAGCGAAAATTAATTCCAGCTAAAATAAAGTATTTTACAGTATTACTAGTACCATGGGAATACCAGATATTCAAAATGTTTCTTAGAGGAAAATTTAATGTTAATTTCAAACCATGTTTTTTTTTACAGTATCAAATAGGTAGAACTAAATACAACTTGAAACCACATGAAATGGAAATAAACACTAAATATTGAGAATTTACAGAATTGTATTGTATTAAAAATTTAATTTATTGCAAATAGTTTGAAATATTGTGTACAGTTTGATGAAAGAAGACTGCCAAGTATCAATAAATGAATACGAAAGTGTTGCTTCATTTTCAAAATATATAATACAGGGTTACTGCTACCCATTCTACATGTATATCTATAATAATCTCCTACCCAATGTTGAGTTGCTAAACTTAAAATTAATTTGGCTATATGTTTTACCGTATTACTCTCAGTGCAACAAAAGTTTTCCCTTCATTCAATATTTATAAATTTCAATAGCAGTTGAATCCAACCAGCCAATCAATGAACAGTATGTCCCAACATCATTTGAAAACATTCCAATTTATTTGAATCAGCCAATAGAAACTTTTCGTTACAAGTTTAAATAGTGAAATTTATAAATATTTATAAAAGGTATGCCTTTGTTGTGCTGATAGTACTCATATATGGTTGATGTGAGATTCATGACAAAACAGTAACTTGATGACCAGGTTGGGCTCAAAGTTTTTCCAACCTATAGGAGGCCCTATTTAACTGATTGTAATAAGTCAGGATGAACACAGGTACATGACATTGACATTCAAGCTTTCACAATATCAATTATAATCTCATAATTTACCAATTTAATAATAACATGTCTACTTAGAGAATAAATGATCTCAATTTATGAGATGCATATCTTTGTATCTATCTAAGGAGGAAATTACTCAAAATGTGAATGAAAACATTTTTTTCATACTGTTTTTTTTTTATAGGAAAATACTGAATAATAATAATGTGGAAAGGTAATTCTTGTGTTTCTATGTCCATCGAAACCATACTTAAGTAGAAATTGAATCCAATGAAGTTGAAACGAATTGGTATTGTTCGTAGTTACACACCTGAGTGGCGGAGAATTGAACAGATCTTTAGAGCTACCACGTCAGCAATACAAATTTACTGATGAGTAAGCCACACAGGGTCCTAAGTATTCAGTCAGCACAAATTCATTACATTTTTTTTTTCTCTTCAATATCCAGCACTAGTACTTCAGCTTAGAATGTTTGGTGGAAATCTATAAGACTATAACTGGCTTCATCCTAAAAGTAATGTTTACCAACTAATTATACATTAAACATACATGATGTTAGAAATGAGTTTTATCACATGTCAAATTAAATGTATCTAGCCAACAAAAGGATGCTTAGAAGTGACTCAACTGTCATTTAAATAATTAATCAAATGTAGAATCTGATAAGAATCAAGAAAAATGACAAAATTTTGATTCTCAAATAGTTAATTTAGAATGATAGTGCAAATGCTTTCATTTCACAAATTTTTCACAAAATTTACCAGTCAATAAAAATTGAGTTCTTCAGGCAGGAAAGTGATTTTTGTGAAATTTAATAACCCCCATATCATGAATGCCTTCAAGTTATCAAACCGTGACATGATAACATTTTTGTGTATAATCACTACAGACTGGTCATTGTATGTGCTACTAGTACTGTACCAACACATACCATGCTATGTATACATGGTAATGGGAGGCTATATTTACAAGAAGACAGTCACTTCACAGTATACCTCATATGTAGAAGACAAAGTTCAACACAAAGCCAATGGCAGGAAAACAGACATTACTGGTAATTAAGTTTGACAACCAACTCAAACACTGCAGGCCACACCCAAGGTTCTTTGTGTATTCTACCTGCACAATTCTACTTATAATTTGTTTTAATATGCGATATGAATTAATTATGAGAGTAAATTTCTGAAAATAATTATTTATTCATAATATTGATTTTATCGCCAACTTACTGTTTACTCGTGTTTAAGAAATAATATTTCTATGGATAGATTATGAATTGGTCGGCAGTATGGGGTAGCTTTAGTTGTCTCCGGAGTTGTCTCTGTCCATCTTAAAATCGAAAACTGATAGATGTTCACTTACCCTGGGCTCCGTGTATGGGTCCGCTATTTGATCTACGTAATGGTGACGGTGGAGGGTTTACTGTTTTTTCCGTGTTCGGTGAAGGTGGTTCAAGATATGATCTGGAAGGGAGAGATAGCGACCCGGAAGTGCGAGAAAGAGAGGCGCCCGTCGGAGCATCGTCGTCACAGTCGCCGTCCGATGATGGTGGTATAAGTTTGACGGGTGGTGGAGAAAAGTATTCATTTGTAAACGGGTTCAGTTGTGGGTTGGACGTATTACTGATGGTGCTGGTGAGACCAAACGTTGCCATGGATTTTACAAATGTTCTTTTCTCACGATGTTGTCCTTAGGTTCGCTTCACTTGAAGAAACGGATGATCAGACTCGACCAGATCCAGTCGATCTCTGACGACGAGTGTAAATTTTTAGAAAGATTGTCGTATCTCGCGACGCCTTACGGAGTTTTTTTCAGCCTACACGGCAATTGCGTGGGAATTTTGCCGTAGTTCACATGCCTGGGAGCTTGGGACGTCCTGTGGTGTACACAACATACAGCAGCATGTTCATACTGAATATACCATACACGTTTAAACTCAAACGCCAACGAATAAACTCTCTTGTCGTCAGCAGACCTTTCTGAAACGTGAGGTCAAGGGAAACTACGTCGAGGAGATATACGCCCTCAACGGAGTGTTTTCATTGATTTTCGTTTTAGGAATAATTAATTCCAATATGTTATACAACTTTCCAGGAAGTCAAAGTTACGGCGTGTTAGATATCACGTAAACTTTCACGTGTGCTTCTCGACTGATTGTAAACTTTATTGACATTGTACCCTCTTTAGGGTATTAAATTGATTATAATAAAGTAAATATGTTTTTAGAAAAAAACACATAAACAATTAAAAATAAATGATCAGATAAAGCAAAGTAAAATACAGTAATTACTAAAATAGCTAAATAATAGAAAAAAATTAAAATCACTACTAGTATCAGAAATAAATATGTATAATGTAAATATCGATGTACCAATGGACGTCACACAAATAAAATTCTCTTCTATCGACTTACAACCCTCGTCCGATCGCATGGTTCTGTATCACACTCCCACGTGTGTTAAGACTTCAAAAGTGTCCTTGACTTCAAAAGTGTCCCAGAGCGTAAATGCAGTAAGATAGGAGGCTTATGCTCGGTGTGTATCCCATGTGACGATGTAGTAAGTCAGCATAGTGAAATGACAGCAATGCTAGCAGACACTAAACATCGAAGAGATATATAGTTTATTATATAAATATTAGGTTATAAATAAATGATATATACAGGTCGTAACCTACAAAATAGTTTTATAACCCTTCACATTTTAAACAAACAC